ACACACACACACACACACACACACACACACACACACACACACACACAGAGTCAGGCCAACAGAGCAACACCGCTGCTGCTGAGGGAGCTGATGTTATTGTTCACTCTGTAGATGTTCATGATGTTGTTTCTGTCTGCGTGGGAGGAGGAAGGTGCAAACACTCTCTGGTAATCACATTAGGAACTCCACTTTCTCTTCCTGCTCTCTCTCAACACTAATGGAGTATATACCCCCCCCACCACCCCCGACACACTTCCTGGCAGGTGCGGCAATGTGGAAAAATTCACTCAAGTCATTTTTTAAAAATGGCAATTAAAGGTTTTAACATATATAATGTAAGGAGGCAATGTGCTGCTTTTTTGACTGATTTATATAGTTGCAAAATGAATATATTTGAGTTTTGAACTGTGTGCTGAACAAACCAAAAATCTTAAGAAGTTACACACACACCTATAATGTTGAGAGTGAAGTTGCTGTTGCTGCAGACGTGGCCGGCTGCATTCTTGGCACAGCAGTAGTACAGGCCGTTGTCGTCCGGGCTGGCACTCGTAAAGGTGAGCGTCCTCTCCTTGTTGTTGATCTGGTGGCTCTTCTCTGTCAGCTTCACCCCGTCCTTGAACCACTGGCACGTCGGCCTGAGAGGGAGAGGAAAATAGGCATGAGAGAGGTTTAGGAGAGAAGAGAAAATGGGGGACGAGCCGTGTGATTGAGGAAGCAAAAAAAGAAGAAGATACAAAGGTGAGTAGAGGAGGAAAGAAGAAGAATAGGGACAAAGAACATAGGGGCATGAGAGAGGCCAACGAGGACAGAAGAAGAGTTTTTCAGTACAGTCCTCAACGTGATCTTTAACCCTTTGAGCTCTGAACTTGAGGTGACGGGGAGGAGACTCACCGTGGGTGTCCATCAATATGACAGCGCAACGTGACCGGCGCGGAGCTCTCGATCTCCCCTTCTGAGGCGGGCTCCTTTAACGTCACACCACCACTTTCTAACCCTGAGGAGGAAGAAAAACAGAGTGATCCGTGAGCCGGAGGAGGGAAGGAGCAGGAGTAATAAAGGGAGGAGAAGGACAGGAGGAAAAATTGAGTTAAGTGGTCGTCCCGTCATTCGCCGTCGCGGGACACACTGCGATGGGGATGCGGGCACAGTCGGGCACATCGCTGTGACAGCCCAGTGACTCATGCACGGGGACAAAGCAAGGCAGCTACCACATCACTGGGTCAGCTTCCATCGGCATACCGCTGTCCTGCACTCAAGAAGAGCGAGCTGGGCCTTTACGGTGCTTTTTATGGACATTTAATGGACAGTTCATTGGCTTACTCTGTTAAAAGAGCTTCACTGCGGTCAGAGCGGCCCATAAAAATCAGGCAAAAAGGGAAATGAACAACAAGGCAGACAGTGAACATGTTTTGACTTTTTTCACACCATGCAGTTTAAATTCTTTAAATGCAAGAACAGCGCATACTTCAAAATGTCTTCAAGCCTGATCAGGTGGGTCTACACTATTATTATCATGGGAAGAGGCGGCATCACTCTCGCTACTAACATGAAACCTGGTCAATGGCGTCTTGAGTGACAGATGAACAGGAGAATAAATGACGGAAACAGATGCCAGGGAAAACGATCCACAGCCGTCCCTTGAATGCATCATGTGGCAGTGACGAATGAGAACAGTGTGGTTTTACCATTAAGGCTTTGACCCAGTTCACTGGGAATTATATATCAACTACATACAGTATATGTCAAGAAGTCATCACAGCAGCAAATCATTCAGACCTTCTCCTGAGAGGAGGGCAACACACAATCATTTTTCAGTCTCCAAGGGAGACTAGTAGATACATCTCATGATGAACCGAGGCACTTCATCCCTCTTTCAATAAAAAAGCACTGCGCTGGCTCCTGTGCGCTAAGCCTCTTTGGCGTAGCCACGAATTCAGGGCCAGCCATGAAAATGCCTTATTTGATTTGATGGAGACGCTTTTTTTCTTTTTTGTTGATAAAATGTCCACCTACTGCTGAGTAGGGGTGTGAATCTTACAGTATTTCAAGATTAAATTTTGATTCTTGGGGATCAGTTCTGGATCCGGTACATAAGGTTGCCAACTTCAGGATCGACTACAGTCCGCTGTGGTAAAATATGGCAGGAAAGCAGAGTCTTTGTATTTCAAAATGTTATATCAAGTGATTGCTCTACTGTAACACGCAGATGCAGACTAAAGTCTACTGGAGGAGTTAAGAAACATAAGTTATTCATGGAGTCTCCCTTTGGTGAGCGGCACCGTATATTTGTCTGTGACACAGCGCTAGTGTACCCGGCAGGAATTCCCCTTCCCCTGCCGAGTGTGTTGACTACACAAAATACTTCATGTTCACAGTGAATGAGAACCAGGGCTAATAGTTGTTTACGTGATGATAAATAAGCTGCGGTTGTGCGACATGCAGTAACTGTACACCCGGCGTGGTTGCTGACAGAGCGTTTCTCTGGGCTGCCCTGGTTTATGCACGAGTCCATGAGGGTTTCGAGTGTATGCAAGTCCTTCCATCACGCTGAGCTCCCTTCCTATAGCCCGTGGCTGAATACTGCGGCTGCATCTCTGCTGCTGTTTCGATCATCGATGAAATATGCATGGCATGAGCCTCCACCTGAGACGGCGGTGGAAGAATCACCGCTGTGAGGTCAGAGGGGGCGCTAGAGGAAGACCTGTCACAATGAATTACAAAGGAACCGGGTATTACTCTGCACCCTGGGGGATCATGGGTAATCATCTCTACAGTAACAGGGGCCACTCATTAGCTCCCTCACAACACAAATGCCCCCGAGAACAGCGAGTGTGTGCACATCACGCTGCATTAGATCAAAAGTGTGTGTTTATGCATCGGTTAGAGACAAGTGTGTGAGCGTGTATGTGGTGGTGAGAAGTAAAACATATTACGGTGCTGTGCCCCTAAGCTTGAATGCATGCGTACAAATGTACCAGATTTGACTTTTGAGAGTTCTGCAGAGGATCCTAATTGGTTGGCTGTCTCAGTCAAGGCCGTTCTAGCTTAGCGGAGGAGGAGGAGGAGGAGGTGATGAAGGCCATCCCAGCTACGGGGACCCGGGGCCAGACGCTCAGACAGACGTATTATTAGTGCACTGGAAGCAAAGCGGGGCCCACAAAACCAGACGGGGAAACAGTGAGTCACCGATGGAGGAGGACAAAGTTTGATAGAACAACAAGTATCATCTGCAGTAGGACAGACATTTGCAAAATGAAATAAAGAATTTGTTTCAACAGGTGGATGCTTCCACCATCAGGGGGAGTCAAACCATTTTAAAGTCACATTCTGTGCTTCTTTTATGAGCGTCTGTGCGTTTTCTGCTTATCGATTGAAATAATAAAAAACATAATGCGTCAACCTACAGATTTCAACGTGTCGGTGGCTGGTATGTCTTTCTTGGGAAAACCCCTCTGACACCTTTTTCTTTTTTACATGTGTAAGAAATATTTTACATTCCTGATGCACGAGTGTGAAATCCGAGCAAAGAGAGCCGAGTAGGTAGTGTGAGCACTAAGAGAACCCATGGTGAAAAAATAATCACAGTGCAGGACACACTGCTTGACCTCTGACCTGACAATCATTGGAAAAATGAGCACCACACACACACACACACACACACACACACACACACACACACACACAC